CCTCCCTACCAGAGAAATGTTGGGTGAAAAAACTAGATTTTACCTTTTAGTAATAAATAATACCTCAGACTAAAGTCAGGATAATATAATTTACATTTCTGGATTCCTTGCAGGTCAGGGAATATTTTGAATGTAAACTTCATATATTTTGCACAAAAGATATAATATTTGCTTTGTGTAAACCAAATTATTACATTAGATCTAAAATTTGTATGTCTAATGCAAAATCCATGATGTTTATATTCAAAATGATCATCATATTGTAAGAATTCCAGCAATGTAAATTATATTCTGGCCGGGTAATTTGTATGAATTTTATGAGCTAAAACAAATATCTTCAGTAAATAAACAAAGAAATATTCTTCAAGGACACTATCTGTCAATCAAAATACTCCACCCTAGCTGGGTCGGTCCCTCCCTACCAGAGAAGCTTTCGGAGAAAATAGTATATTTACATTTTTAGTAATAAATAATAACTCAGACTAAAGTTAGGATAATATAATTGACATTTCTGGATTCCTTGCAGGTCAGGGAATATTTTGAATGTAAACTTTATATATTTTGCACAAAAGATAAAATATTTGCTTTGTGTAAACCAAATTATTACATAAGATCTAAAATTTGTATGTCTAATGCAAAATCCATGATGTTTATATTCAAAATGATCATCATATTGTAAGAATTCCAGCAATGTAAATTGTATTCTGGCCAGGTAATTTGTATGAATTTTATGAGCTAAATAAAAAAATTAAAAAATTATACTTCACTGCGTATATGAGTAGATGCACCGTGGAAAGTGAAAGTCCGGTTCTGGCAAGGTACCGCGTAAATGAGAAATCGCGGAAAGTGAAACCGTGTAAAGCGGGGTAATACTGTATACAGGTATATAAAATAATGAACATAAGGTCAAATACACAAAGGGAAAAAAATTATGTCCGCAGGAATCGTGGGAGGGCTGCATCATAGGGGTGCAGTGTCAGTATCTTAGCCTCTAGCCAAGATGTGAGCTGTATTATTGCTATTTTTCAACTCGTATTTTCAGGTAGATATATGTTTTGCTTTGTTTTTTACTGTTACATGCACACACAATCCTTCATACAGAAAGTGCATTTTTTTTAAAATAATTATAATAAGCACAAAAATATTTAAAACGTGTGTAGGAACGAGCACAAGAGAAGGAGGTAGCAGCGTTCCCTCAAGGCTCTGGTGTCTTGTGCTAGTGACAATATTGCCAAAAGTCAATGCAGTATTTTTTTTCTTTTCTTTTACTTTTTCCTCACATATACTGGTACAGTATACAGTACGTACTGTAAAACCTCGCTCAGGCGGACTAATTGGGGGGGCAGGGGTGTCTGGGGTAAGAGGTTGTCCACTTTTGAGCAAATTTTTCCAAAAAGACTTCCATTTTAACCCTTAGGCCCCGGGTGACGTTCCAGTATGTCCGCCTATTTTCCAGCCATTTTTTTTTATTATTATTATTATTTTGGGAAAATTTTATTTTTTTCTTGATTTATCCCCGTGAAGTACTGCCAGCAGCACCCTAACCCGGGGCTTAAGGGTTAAAGAAAAAACGAGAACAACACCAATACAGTATATCCAATTTTTATGAAAGAAATACAGTGGTTCCACAGAGTCGTTCGTTAACTGAAAATCTCTTAAACTGAATCTATTATTTCAATGGGATATTGGGTAATTGGTTCCAACTCATAGAATTCACATAAAATTAATTAAAAAGTACATACAAAGTACTGTATACCGGTAATAGAATTAACAATATGTATTTAGGATAGTGTGTGCATGTAAATGAGTAAAAATGAAATGAAGAAAGTTACGGTACGTATATCTACCCAAAAATACGAGTTGAAAAACTTGCACCTACATGTACAGTACTACACTAATGGACTGAAATTTTTATCTCTTGTGCAAAATATATGATGATCTATATTCAAATTACTCACTGTCTTCCAAGGATTCCAGCAATGCAGGTTATATTCTGCTAATTTTAGTCTATGACATTTTATAAGATAAAAACTTTAAGCCTTAAACTACCTTCACCCTGTTTTGGGAATGCTTCATTTAGCCCAGAACCCCCAAATATTGTGTCCGAATCTTCCAAAATCCGGGTCCAGATTTCTTTATTTAAGCAAACACTGCACTGTATATTATCAATAAGTTAACTTGATAATTTAGAAATGGCAATGCTTTTCTGTATATGTAATGTATTTCATGGGGCAAAGGGAGGCTCAGGAACGTAACTCCCGTATTTCATCTATTTCTTATGGGGAAAATTGATCTGCTTAAAGTTGTTACGTATAACGTCACATTTTTAGGAACATAACCCCGACATTAAGCAGGGACTTACTGTACTCAAATTAATCATCATCATGTGAGTACTCCAGCAATGCAAATTATATTCTGCTAAATCAAGTTAGTGATATTTTATAAGCAAAAAACTTAAGCTCCCTGTGTTTTATATTCCTGAGACCATGATCCCTCTCCTCTCCACTGATAACTACACACACAGTAATATCTGGAGACTTCTCGCTGTCATCACCCCACCTACCCCTCCTCTGAGCCAGCAAGGGAGGCAAGATGGCGGTGGGTGATTAGGCATTTATACAATGAAGGTTTTAGGCTTAAAGTTTTTCTTTAAAAAATGTCATAGACTTGACTTAGCAGAATATAACGTGCATTGCTGGAATCCTTGTAAGACAGTGAATGATTTGAATTTAGTCATCATATATTTTGCATAAGAGATAAAAAAAATTCAACTCGTATTTTTAGGAGTGTTTCTAACTTTATACAGTTTTGGCTTTATGTGAGGTCCCAGGAACATAACCCCATGGAAGTTGAGTCTACTGTAAATAAATTTATTGCTAATATTGGAAAATTTTGATAATTTTGGTAGTACAGTGGTCCCTCGGTTAACGAACACAATTCGTTCCAGAAGGTCGTTCGTTAACCGAAAATTTTGTTAACTGAAACCATTGTTTCAATGGGATTTTGGGAAATTGGTTCCAGCTCACCAAAAATTACATACAAACTAAAAATAAATGCAGTAAAGTACGCTTACTTTGAGGTGTGTATGTAGAAGGCTCCTGGTTGATGATGATGATGATGGGAATTAGAAGTGGGGGTGGAGGAGAAAGGAGAAGAGAAGGAAGTGGGGGTGGAAGAGAAGTCACCTCATGCTTCATGTTGCCATTTCACCCATAAAATTTTAAGTTCACTTGGTGTAATTCAAGATTATTTTCTTTAAATCAACACTGCACTGCACTATATATTGTCAATATGTAAAATAAATTTCAGAATGACCAATAATTGAACAGTAAAAACGTAAAAATAGTTTATGTTCAAGAGATTCTCATGCAAGATGCTACCTCCACTGAGCAGACACAAACTGACGCCATTCTGGGTGAGTCAATTGGCTGTTTGGAAAGCTAAAAACTAGTTCCCTGTACTTCAATATGTTAAATAATTGTTAAAATTACTAAAAATTTTAATATAAGACTTGGAAAATTATTGAATAGTACAACCTTCTTGATATTTACTCAAATGGTAACGAATTTAAGCCCTAAAACCGATTACTGTATTGGTGGACTAATACACCAGCTGGTGAGCAGGCGAAAACATGTTGATACGATTTCGTAAGGATTTCGTTAACCGAATTTTTGTTCGTTAATCGAGTTGAAGATTCTTATGGAAGGTAATTCGTTAACCGAAATTTCGTTAACCGAGGCGTTCGTTAACCGAGGAATCACTGTAGTGATAAATTTGAAATATTTCCTGCCCAATTTCCCTCACGAAATATAAAGAAATATCGCTATACAGTATAGAGGAAAATGTTGATAATTTTGGTAGCCACCCTCTTCTCTAATGGGGACTACCCGTATCACGTAGGTGGTCAGAGTAACGTTTTACCAAATCCGGCTTCGAAACACGAGGCTCCATATATATTTCATTAGCCCAATAAAGCACGCGGACTTCTACATACAATCAACACCTCAACCCGCCAGGATTCGAACCCACGGCCCACAAGCCTATGACTGTGACCGGGGAACGCTAACCGCTGGACCACCAGGATACTAAAAGCAGTCCTAGACTTTGTTATATTTCACACAAAGCCTGTTCAACGAGCTTATGGCGCCGTGAACCTCTAATGGGGACTGCCCGTATCACTTAGGTGGACTGCTTTTAGTATCCTGGTGGTGTAGAGGTAGCGTTCCCAGGTCACAGCCGTGGGCCGTGGGTTCGAATCCTGGCGGGGTGAGGTGTTGATTATATGTAGAAGTCCACGTGCTTTATTGGGCTAATGAAATATATATGGATCCTCGTGTTTCGAAACCGGATTTGGTAAAACGTTACTCTGACCACCTAAGTGATACGGGTAGTCCCCATTAGCGATTCACGGCGCCATAAGCTTAATTTTAAGTCAACTTGCAACTATGAAAATAAAGTGGATGCTACTGAAACCTACTAAGTCTCTTGACCTCTGCAGTAGAAGATTCTATTAAAATTGAAAAAGATTTAATCACACTTAACCTCCCTGACACAATGAGCTTAGTCATGAAAATAATACTAACAACATTTTGTCTCCTTTAATGAAAAAAGTTTCCAATGACTATAGAGCCCATTAAGAGCAGTGTAGATACAGTACGCTATATACTAAGATTTTTGTACACAAGGAGACAAGTGTGGCCAGCACTGTACTCAACCAAATTTAATTCTCAAACTATAAAGTTAGGTGCCCCTTTAAATCTGGGTGAACTGGGAATGCCCTTGCCATAAACCAGCAACCATTTGGACAGGAGTCAGCTGTTGAATCCACTTGGCAACCACATCCCATCTCCCCTTAAGAAGAAAACAAATAATCAGATTTTTGTAGCATACGGTATGATAAGTATGTGAGGAAAACATACACCTTTATAATTTTGGGTAGCTACAGAGTTTTATAAACTCCCTCAAGCATCTGAGATGAACTATATTTGTAAGTACAGTACCTGTAAATAGTTGAGCTAGAGACACTGGAGGGGAGAACCTCCGAAGAACAGTGATCGGAATGTTGCACTATTGTAGCTTGTGCTGCCTGCCCATAGAGGTCCACAACACCAAAGACATGTTCTGGCACATTGTTGGCTGCTAAACCCTGCTCAACACCATTAACAAAAAAGTACAGGGCACCATTGTCTTTCCGGAGGACACCAACACGGTCTCCAACCTGCGGAAGTGTACAAATATGAACTAAATGCACAGCATTGTTACAACTCCTTCTGAGATATGTAGGAGGGCGGGTGGGTGCTCAGGTAGGCGGGTTTGATGATAATGATGATATTAGTGTTCATAGAAATAATAATAATAATAAGATAAAACAATAAAACCAACACAATTCAAAACTCTATACCTGTACTATACAGTATTGTACTTCAATATTTTGGAATTCACTTTTTTCGGACTCTCTGAGGTGCTTTGTACCCCTCCTCTATTCACCCAAAAAATAAATACAGTAGAATCTCGATAAATCAGACTAATTGGGGCACACCCCAGTCCGAAAAATGCGAAAGTCCGAAAAAAGCGAATATATGGGGCGGGTGTTGAAGATAACACTGCTTACTTGAACTGTTTTAAGAAAATCAGTTGTTGTTTTGTTATTTCTGCACTTCAACAACTGAGGTTGTTTATTAAAAGACTATTACATCAACAAGAAAAAAAAATATGAAACCACTCTCTGGGTTGAAAATCAGACATATTAGTCTGGTTATCAACAACTGTTGTCACTGAGATGATTGTTTATTTACTATAAAGTGTTATATGTAAGCAACCACAGAATTTGTCTTATGAATAAAGAGAAAACTGTATGCTGTACAGTACTATAAAGACAAAAATAAGAACAAATAAGTGTAGGGGTATATTGTATGTGGAAGATGAATGTTTATCTGGGAGCAGCTGGCAGAGAGGAAGGGGGGTTAGCATGGGTGTGACTCCCTCCCCCTAACTCCCCCAAGATTCCTTTAACACTTCTTTATGCAATTTCACCACAATTCTCCAAGAATTTAGAATCATTTGGTGCCAGGTTGAAGAAAACATTATTCTAAAAGGATCAGCTTTCCTGAAAAAAGAACCTGCACTGAAAACCATGAGTCATTGTTCACAAAGAGCAAGCAGCTGATTCGTTTACCACAATGACTGTCTTCAAAACTTAGTAAATAAACACAGTACAGATGTGTATTTATCACCACTTAATAAATACGATTGTAGTGTGCAGTATGTCCTCGTATAATGTCGTCCCGCTTAACGTTGTTTCACTAATACGTCGCTAAACTTTAGAGATCAAAAATTCATTTAACGTCCTGGTGATACGATACTACGTTTTTTTGGGTCGTCGCGGACTACTTTCTAAAGTGCATCACCCACTCTTGTCTGGCCGAGCTACGCTCTCTCGGCTCGGCGCGCTGCCCTCACTCGCGGAACATCACAGCGACGCCAAGCCAGTCTCTGTTACAACTTCACATCATTCGTGCATGCATAAGTGCTTTTGCTCTAAAACTGTACTATAATCATTCAAAATGGCTTCCAAGTGCCCATCAAGTGCTACTGATGCTAGTGTAGTGAAGAGGCAACATAAGAACATTACCCTTGCTACGAAAATGGATGTATTAACCCGATTTAAAATAGGGGAACGTGCTGTGGACATAGCCACTGTGCTTGGTTTAACCCCCACAATGGTGCGTACTATCCGGACCAACACTGACAAGATTAAGGTGAGTGCTGGAAGTGGTTCTTCTCTGAGTGCAACTAAGACAACTCGTACTCAAAACACTGTGATGGAAAAGGTGGAAAAGATGCTTGCAATGTGGATGGAGGACCAGAAACAATGCAATGCCCCTGTGAGCATTATGGTTATCCAGCATAAGGCCTGATCCTTGTTCAACGACTTAAAGGCAGAAGAGGGTGAAGGATCGAAGGAAGAGACCTTTACAGCAAGCCGAGCTTGGTTTCAACGATTTAAGCGTCGTTATAACTTCCACAATATTAAGATGACTGGTGAAGCTGCCAGTTCAGATACGGTTGCTGCCGAGACATTCCTGCCAGATTTCAAACGGATTATCCAAGAAGAAAGCAACTCATCGAAGCAAGTCTTCAATGTGGTTGAGATTGGTCTCTTTTGGAAGAGAATTCCTGAGAGGACCGATATCTCCAAGGAGGAGAAAAAGGCGCCAGGTTTTAAAGCGGCAAACGACCGCTTGACGCTGCTGCTTGGCGCGAACGCTGCCACGACTTCAAGCTGAAGCCTATGCTGATTTCTGGCGCTGCTAACCCAGGGGCCCTGAAAGGTTACTTTAAGGATCAACTTCGTGTCATCTACAAGGCAAACAAGAAGGCATGGATAGCCGGAGACATATTTAACCAATGGTTAAACATGTATGCCGTCCCTGCAATGAAGTAATACTGTGCCAAGGAGAACCTCGACTTCAAAATTCTTCTGATCCTTGACAATGCTCCAGCTCATCCTCCCAATCTCGACGACTTGCATGACAGTGTAAAAGTTGTATTCCTGCCTCCCAACACGACAGCACTGATGCAGCCTATGGACCAAGGCGTATTATTTACGCCGTACCATGGCCCAGCTGCTCAAGGCTAAAGACGAAGATAATAAACCTACAATCCGAGACCATTGGTGTGGCTTCAACATTCTTCATGCAATTGACAACATTCGCAATGCATGGGAAGAGGTTTCAGAAAGTTGCCTGAATGGTGTGTGGGGTAAATTGTGGCCCGAGTGCGACAACAGTTTTAAGGAATTCACGGATTTAGTCCCAGTTGTGAATAAGGATATCCTCAGTTTGACTAGATAGGCAGGTTTTAATGATCTAGATTCAGAGGATATTGAGGACATCCTGGCATCCCATACAGAAGAACTCACCAATGAGGATTTGCAACAACTATCAGAACACAGTCCTGTTGAAGATGACGAAGACGAAGAACTTCAACGAACGCTAACTACCAAGAGGATGGCAGAAGCATTCAACATGTTCCAGCAAGGTATGTAAATCCTTGTAGATGATGACCCAAACAGAAAATGTAGCTCAAAGGTTCAACGCAGCATTGAGGACAGTCTTGGTTGTTACACCGAGAAGTATAAGGAGAAGAAGATGAGTAGCACCAAGCAGTCAACACTGGATTCATTTTTTCGTCGTTGGACGGCAGAAGCAGCATCTTCATAACAGCTGGCACCTGAGGAGGAGCACACTGCAGCCGAAGAGGAGCAAAAAAATGGAAGAGGAGCAAACATCAACGGAGGAGGAGCAAGCAGCGGCGGAGGAACCACACTCAGCGCAGGAGGAGGAGGAGGCAGTCGCAGAGTCTCAGTGACTCACCACCCTCCTCCGCTCCCATCCTCCTACCCTCCTCTCCCACCCTCCAGCCATCCGCCTCGTCCCCTCCCGCCATCCGCCTCCTCGGCTTCACTACCCACCACACACTCGCTCTACCACCTCCGCCTATCGGTGAAGACCCATACAAACTTGGTAGTTGTATATGTATGCACTATTTTCTATAAAAATGGCAATGATTTTCTATATATGTAATGTATTTCATGGGGTAAAGGGAGGCTCAGGAACGTAACTCCCGTATTTCATCTATTTCTTATGGGGAAAATTGATCCGCTTAACGTTGTTTCGTATAATGTCGCTTTTTCAGGATCGTAAGCCCGATGTAAAGCAAAGAGTTACAGTGAACCCTGACTTTACGCAGTCAACTGAACCCACGGAGGCCCGCGTAAAGTGAACAACATAACATATGGGATTAAATGAAATAGAGACCGGCTAACCCCCAAACTCCACTTTTTCCGACACAATACATATGTTCTAGTAAAAATAACATCTTAATTTTATGATGGTACATGCACACAATTAATACTTAAGAGAAATAGAGAAATACAGTCGCCAAGTTAATGTCCATTCAAATAATGGACTCAACTCCCTCCCCCTCTTCTCACACTCCTGGCTCTTCCCTCTCTGAGAAATGTTCGCGGGAAAACCACTAGGTTTTAAGGGATTGTAATAAATAATACCTCAAACTAAAGTTAGGATAATATAATTGACATTGCTGGATTCCTTGTAAGACCAGGAATATTTTGAATATAAATGTCATATATTTTGCACAAAAGATAACATATTTACTCAGAGTAAACAAAATACTTAAAGTACAGTATTACCCGCCTAACGCGGTTTCACTTAACGCGTTTTATCATATACGCGGTGCCTCGCCAGAGCTGAACTTTCACTTAACACGGATTTTTTCCACATATACGCGGCGAGTGTCCGGCTCGAGACGCTATTTTTAGATTTGCCTCACCCGCCACCCTGCCTGTTTTAGCTCATAAAATTCATACAAATTACCCGGCCAGAATATAATTTACATTGCTGGAATTCTTATAATTTGGTGATCATTTTGAATATAAACATCATATATTTTGCATTAGACATACAAATTTTAGATAAAAATTTTTCTCAGAGTAACTATGTTATCTTTTGTGCAAAATATATGACATTTATATTCAAAATATTCCTGGTCTTACAAGGAATCCAGCAATGTCAATTATATTATCCTAACTTTAGTTTGAGGTATTATTTATTAAAATTTAGTGGTTATCCCACACATCTCCTTGGGACGGTTGGTGGGGGGTGGGGGGGAGGGAGGGACCGACCGACCATCTGTTACCCTGTGAAGAATTATTTTTTTTTTTTATTAACTGAAGATATTTGTTTTAGCTCATAAAATTCATACAAATTACCCAGTCTGAATATAATTTACATTACTGGAATTCTTATAATTTGATGATCATTTTGAATATAAACATCATATATTTTGCATTAGACATACAAATTTTAGATAAAAAAATTTCTCAAATTAACTATGTTATCTTTTGTGCAAAATATATGACATTTATATTCAAAATATTCCTGGTCTTACAAGGAATCCAGCAATGTCAATTATAATATCCTAACTTTAATCCGAGGTATTATTTAATACTAAATGTTAAAAACCCTGGAAGGGAGGATTGGTGGGGGGTGGGGGGGAGGGTTGGGACTGACCGCGCGGTTGGAGGGGGGTTGGCAAGGTGGGGTACTTTGATTGACAGATAGTGTCGTGAAGATTATTTTTTTTTTTATTAACTGAAGATATTTGTTTTAGCTCATAAAATTCATACAAATTACC